GGGGCCGGCGGCCCCGGAGGCCCCGGAGTGTCCGCTGTGGGGAGAGGAGAGAATGTGCTCCCTCGCCTTTCTGTGTAGCCGCACTCGGGGGGTGCTACTCGCTGCTTCTGTGTGCTCATCCTAAATCGCGGTGGGAAGGAATGATTGTATTTGTTAAAGCCTAAGTATGACTATAAACCTACTCCTGAAACATCCGGTCAGGTTGGGAAGTAACCGCCGTGAGTGTAATAGGGCTTTTCAGTGGTAAGAAGAGCACGTTCAGGTGGAGGGGAAGGTGATAAAGATATTGATTAGGAAATGTGCAAGAAAGGGGGGATGTTCAGCACCCAGCAGTGAGGGAAAGGTCTGATGGCTACCCAACTAACCCTTCCAGCTACATACCTGCTTCTCCTTGCGATGGTGCCTGTCACGGCATTCCCCGGGAGGCATTAAGACTTCACTGCAATACCTTTGTAACAAGACAGTCAAGTTGGTTTTCTGCTTCATTTGCCAAGAACCTTCGGCTGTGATGACCTATGTCCATCTATTCCCTTTCTGTTCTTCTTCCACGGGAAACTTTTGAGCCGTTTGGATAATGTGGGGTATGAGGCAGGATGGGGGAGAGGGGAGGCAAAGAGAGACTACTGTGTAAGAAACTGAGGCTTCATTACCACCATTGCTCATAAAGTGCATGTCTCTCTGTTCCCCTTCCTTCAGACTGCCAGTTCCCAAACTAGAAGATACAATTAGGAGGTACCTGAATGCCCAGAAACCACTTTTAAACGATGACCAATTCAGGTATGGATAAAGAAGACACACATATTGCAGTGTCATGTGCTGCTTCAAAGCCAAGTGTTGCATATAAAAAATACTACTTGTGACAACATTTTGACTCTTTTTGGTTGCTTCCTGTAGGAAAACTGAAGAACTTGCTCATCAGTTTGAAAAGGGAGTTGGAAGAGAGCTGCATGAGCAACTGGTTGCTCAAGACAATAAGAACAAGCATACTAGTTACATCACAGGTACGTTGGCCTGCTGGACATAGGAGCCTGTCAGTCATCATGCTTGACAAGAGCTCCTAGTGCTACAAATAGGCTGAAGCTGAAGTTCTCTACTCCATAAACTTGGAATAACATGCTGTGAGTACTGCCTGTGACTGCATTTGGGCAAATTCTGAGTCTCTGGTGGAAAGCTGAATGGCCATCATCTAACTTGTATTTACCAGAATTCTGGATAGATGGATATTGAAGAAACAGTATTTTTTTCATGAGTTACTGTATTTAAATTTGAATTTAGAGGGTTTATATTTTTTCATTGTCATTGCTGTCTATTTATGTTTAGGTTAACAGAGAAGCTTAACTGGTGCTCCTAAATAAAACAGTAATTTTCAGATAATTTCAATTTATTTAGCAAGAAAATATGACCCCTCTGAGGTGGGGGTCAGAGACTATGACTAAGATTTGGGAGGCAGAAGTGGGCAGTGCTCTGGACTTAAAACAAACCCCCCAGGACTACAAAACTTGTGTTTGTCACTCCTTTAGAAAAGGAGTGACAGAAAGAGGAAGATGAGAATAAAAACAAATAAAGAGAGGGAGAATAGGTGTATAGTTTTTTGATTATTCTTCCTTATTATTGCTTCCACTGACTTCCAAATACAAGTGTCTGCTTATGAAAGTATTGGATGGATAGCAACAGGGGTGAAAATACTCAAATACTTGTGAAAGAAGTAGTTTGCATGTTGCCCAGCAAATGCACTTTCTGTCCTTTCTCTCTGTTGAGACTAACTGTAAGGGTGCTGGCTACCACAAATTCTGTAGAGAATACCAGATTATTTCACAAAAGCTGCTGTTTGGCTTGTTACCTTTTAGTTTATGTTCACTTTGAACAACATTTGGGTTTTAACTGGTGCTCTATGATGTTTGTCAACGTTAACCAGCATGCTGCTTTTGTCTGTGAACTGTGGGGTGTTCGTATGCCTTTTTATTGAGTTAGTATTCTTTCTTAAGCCTCGTAAAAGACCTGTTCTGCTTGAAATTGGTTTCTGGAAGTATGTGTGCTTGCCTCCACCCTGGGCTTTCAAGTCCAAGGTTAAAAGGTTACATCATGAAGATGGGTGTGGTTTTAAAACTGCAGATGAATGCCAGTTACTCACCTGTGGGGACCTGGGATTAAAATTGTAATTTAGGTCCTTGAGTTACACGTTGCCCTATTTACAGTCCAGCTAGAAGGTTCTACCTGGGACTGACACAGAAAATCTTAATACATCAGCTGCCTTTGAGATGAAGCTGGTGTGCACTTGCTTCCTTTGTCTGCATCCAGTCAGTGTGCAGTACCAGAGCTTGCTCAGTTTGGAGGTGTTAATGATGATTAAATAGAACGTAATTAAAAAAATCCCTGCTATGGCCATGCCCCTGGACTTTTGTTTACTCATAGGCAGGTGTAAAGGTGTGACTACTTTTTAAAGCTATGATTGATTCTCTTGGTTTTGGCAAGAACAGAACCTTTGGTCACATTCATGCTTCTTGATATGCTGGCAGACTGTCTGAAAGACCTGTGGGCATCAAATGTAATTCTGCTTTCTGAAGTCTGTTCTGGGCCTGGAAGAATAACTGAGGTCGCCGCTAACTTTGTCTTTCTGCCAGTTTGAGAGACTGATGGTAATACATCGGTGTCGAGAGTTTTGCCCTGTGCTGATCATTTTAGTGGATAGAAAGAGAAAGGAGGTGGAAATGCGAGGCAGCAAATGTAAATGGAGAAATGCTGCCAGGAATGAGTGAAACACTGGATCAGAAATAGAGAAGGTGACAGAGTTGCAGAAATGAATAGCTTAAGAGTAGGTAAAAGCATGTTCCACTCCAAATGTGAGGTGTGCACCAAAATATAGTGCTGGGGAGCTGCACTGCGTGTCGTGGAAGTTATGGTTTATCACTGAGCCACATGGAAAACATGGAAATTGGCCCTCGTTGGTAATGACATTGACACTCTTGATATGGATTACTCCAAATACAGTGTTTTTACAATTAGTCAACAGTACCGTTCTTCATAATGGGAGTTTGGGAGAATCCTTGGGGGAATTACTGTGTATGTTTGCCTTGTTCATCTGCATTTCAGTAGGTGTTTATTCATGGTCACTGTTGGAGACAGGATATTGACTACATAAACCTCTGGTCTGACCCAGTAAGCTGCTTTTATGTTCTGACCTGTTTCTCAACTCTCCACTTTCAGGTCCCTGGTTTGACATGTACCTAAAAGCACGTGAACCTGTTGTTCTGAATTTTAATGCCTTTATGTCTTTTAATCCCGATCCAAAATCTGAGTATAACGATCAGCTCATACGAGCTACGAACATGACTGTTTCTGCTGTACGTTTTATGAAGACCTTCAGGGCTGGTTATCTTGAACCAGAGGTTTTCCACCTCAATCCGGAAAAAAGTGACACTGAGATCTTTAAAAAAATCATCCGATTTGTGCCTTCTTCACTTTCTTGGTTTGGTGCCTACATGGTCAATGCATACCCCCTAGATATGTCTCAGTACTTCAGGCTTTTCAATTCTACGCGGCTGCCTAAGCTCAACAGGGATGAGCTTTATACAGATGAAAAGGCAAAGCATTTACTAGTACTGAGGAATGGGAATTTTTATGTATTTGATGTTCTTGATAGAGATGGAAATATGCTGAAACCGTCAGAAATACAAGCACACTTGAAATACATCCTTAGTGACAACAGCCCAGCCCCAGCCTTCCCCCTTGGCTACCTCTCCAGTGAAAACCGAGATACATGGGCATTGCTGAGAAAGAATCTACTGGATAACGGCAATGAAGCAGCTCTTCAAAAAGTAGACTCTGCTTTGTTTTGTTTAAGTTTAGATGACTTTCCCATTAAAGACTTTGTGCACTTGTCCCACACTATGTTGCATGGAGATGGTGCTAACCGCTGGTATGACAAGTCCTTTAACCTTATCATAACTAAGGATGGCACTGCAGGAATTAATTTTGAACATTCCTGGGGAGATGGTGTGGCCGTGCTCAGGTTCCAGAATGAAGTTTTTAAAGATAGCACCAAGTCACCAGCCATCAACCCCCAGTCCCAGCCTGCTTCAGTAGACTCTTCTGGAGCAGTGCAGAAACTTCACTTTAAGCTGAATGATGCCTTAAAGGCAGGAATTACCAAAGCCAAAGAGAAATTTAATGCCACTGTGGAAGCACTGTCTCTTAATATGATTCAGTTCCATGAAGGCGGCAAGGACCTTCTAAAGCAGAAGAAAGTAAGCCCAGATGCTGTGGCTCAGCTTGCCTTCCAGATGGCTTTCCTTCGACAGTACAACCAGACTGTGGCTACGTACGAGTCTTGCAGTACTGCAGCCTTCAAACATGGTCGTACAGAAACGATTCGTCCTGCCTCCATCCATACAAAGAAGTGTTCGGAAGCTTTTGTCAAGGAGCTGTCCAAACACAGCACGGAAGAGCTTCAGAAACTGATAGAGGAGTGCTCAAAATACCATGGCCGTTTGACAAAAGAAGCTGCTATGGGTAAGTATCAAGCACTCCTGCTTTTGCACTACAGTGTCATTAAGGTTGCTGTAAACATTTACTTCACAACTAAATGGTTTAATTTTAACGGAGGTCTGATGTTAATGTAAACTTGACGAAAACAGAAGCAGAAAGCTACAGTTACAGTGCATTCTCTGCGGCTCATTTCTTGATGGAGGACAATGCCTCTGTGCTTCCCACTCCACTGTTGAGGTGTTGAGAATTTCTTATACTTTGGTTTTTGTCCTTATAGCAGCTGGGCTCTTTGAAGATTTTAGAAATACTTAGTGTGTGTTGTCTTCTACAGGGCAACCAAGAACTTTGGCTTTATGTCTGAGGAGTTAACTGTCTTATCCCTGCAGGGGATAAAGGCTTTAACAACTTCCCAATCAAACTGATTCTTTTGGCTGTGGTACTCCTGGTATTTTTCTAAATGCTTTCTTTTGAATTGGCCTTCCCAGAAGCATAACTTGTTGTATTGTTTCAGGAAAATTGATTATGGAACATTACTGCGTAGAGCCTAAAATTTGCCTCCTTTTGTTGTTGCAAGATCCTCTTCGCCTTTAGATTTATAAATTTTAGGAAAGCCTCTCTCCGTCTTACACAACTTCAGATAAATAGTTAAAGAATGTGATGTATTATTAAAATTCTTTGTTAACAATGCACTTTTGTGTACTATCGTGATTCCTGATTGAGGCTAGCAGAAAACCAGCAAGCTCTTGTTCCCTAGGATGTGTGCACTGAAGTGCAAAATGTCTGGGTTCTGAAGAATAGTTCCTGCTAATACAAACATAAACCCCAGTTCTCTAAACCTCCTCTTTTGTGACTGAAAGACAATGTGATGTGAAAAGAAATGTTTACTTCCCACCAAAGTTAGTCATCTTTCTAATACTTGTTATTTTATTTTAACAGGGCAGGGATTTGACCGACATCTCTTTGGCTTGCGCTATTTAGCCTTATCCAGAGGTATTGCGCTGCCCGATTTCTATCAAGACCAAGCCTATGCGCGACTTAACCACAACATCATTTCTACAAGTACATTGGTTAGCCCGGCTGTGCAATTGGGAGGGTTTGGCCCAGTGGTGTCTGATGGCTTTGGAGTAGGATATCAGGTACACGATGATTGGATAGGTTGTAATGTTTCCTCTTACCCAACTAGGAATGGTAAAGAATTCCTTCAGTGTATATACAAGTCATTGGAAGATATCTTTAATGTTTTAAAGGGCAAGAAGGTTGGTAGTTAGACATAAAAATGTTGGAACACTACAGCTGCAGTACAAAATGTAGACTAATTGGCATACTAATAATTGTTCAACGTGGCTGAGACTGCTTACCTTAATTGGCTTCATTTATCATCATTGAACTTGAATACTGTTAGATTCACTATGAAATTTCTGTCTGTTTTAAAGAAATCAAGTACAGACCTTGAATGCATTTTTCAGGAAACACAGATATTCACAATATCAAAATTAAGTAACAGATCCATCTGTTCCAACAGATCCACGTGTTCTTAAAACACGTTCTTTAAAATAAAAAGCTTTGTTCCCGAGTTTATGAACTCATCCCATCTGTGTTCCATGAGTGTTCAGACAACAGCACTGTGATACCACTCTTAAACTGTTTGATTTAAAGCATTTTTCAGGAAACACAGATATTCACAATATCAAAATTAAGTAACAGATCCATCTGTTCCAACAGATCCACGTGTTCTTAAAACACGTTCTTTAAAATAAAAAGCTTTGTTCCCGAGTTTATGAACTCATCCCATCTGTGTTCCATGAGTGTTCAGACAACAGCACTGTGATACCACTCTTAAACTGTTTGATTTAAA